AGGCCTGGGCTTTCCAGTACAAAATCCCTTCAAAAATGCTGAGTTCTAAAAAGGTGGACTTTTAATTAACAAGGAGATGCTTCAAATAATTTTTAGACATGACAATAAAAGAAGCCAAAACTCAAAGAGAGAAAGAAAAATCAAGACGTGAATGCTAAATTTCCCATCACTTGGACTTCTTTGCTTTTTAATAATGAGCTAATAATCTCTAGCATCCCCTTCCTATAATTTTTGCAGGGTCCATGAGCCTCCTTAACTTGTCTGCTAACATTCACGTATAGATGCAGTTTTCTGAGGAAAGGGTGAAAGCGTTCTCATATTCTCAAAAGGCCAATGACTCCCACAGATTAAGAACCACTATTCTGGGGGGTGCAGATGCTTCCAAATCGGGATCTTCCAAGAATACCTGACAGGTGGCAGAAAAACATCACCGTTGTACATAACACGAGGTATCCTTATGCCTTGGCGGCACGGGAAAACAGAACCATAACGACTAAGGGACAAGAAGCTGAAGTTGCAGGGGGGGGGAGCCCCGGCCTTGCAGACACGTAAACCAAACAAAGCCCATAAAGGAAGTTCAGAGATTGGCGGTGGACGCAGGCCGACTGTAGTAGAAAACTGCTTAGGGATGAAATGACCCCCATTGTTGCGAGTTTCAGGGCCTCACTGGCCCACTAGACCAGGGAGGAAGGGAAAGAGATAGCAGGAACAATTAGGCTTGGCGGAGTCCGTCTCTGTTCACCCCCAGCACCTCCTGGGAGGGCTAGGGAGGCTCGGGAGGCCGAGCGGACAGCAGGGAAGACATTCTGACCTGGGGCTGGAGATCGAAGCAGCGGCCCCGCCAGGAATTTACCTTCATAGGGTCGGCGAGGTAGAGCTTCTCGGCCGCGCGGCTGAACTCCTCCCAGGTCTGGAACTGCGGCATCGTGGCCCAGGGTGGAACAGGAGAGAGGCAAGACCGAGTCCACCTACCTAACTACCCACCTCCCGCGGCCGCCCACCGACGCAGCGGTCCCAGCGCCCCAAATGGTGGCGCCTCCTCGCACCAACGTCTCGCGCCATTGGACAACCGCGGCCACACTCGCCCAATGGGCAGGAGGGGTGTTGCCAGGAGGGGGCGG